CCCCTGGCGGGTTTATGTGTGTGATTTTGATGGCATTGTGGTCCTCTATTCTTGTGTGCTTCGTCTGTGGTAATTGCCACGAGAAAAACTTTCACTGAGCGCATTGCATTCACACTATGTCACAGTATGTACGAAAACGGTACGGTCACTTCGCGGGGGGCTCGGAAGTAGGTCCTACCCGTGCGAGGGTCAGTGAACGAATGTTACATCTTGAACCATTCTGTTACTTGATCATTCGCTAACGCGAACCCGTTATGAACGAGTAAGACAATTTTCCAATGCGATTTTCTCGGAAAATCTTGAGTAGTGCGCGCTACTACTTTACCCAATTATGTTTAGATACGTGATCTTTAAACAGTGCAAGTTTCAGGAAAATCCGTTTCCCGTCGACTCTGATGTCCCCTTGTTAGCCTTTCTTGGCGCTAAGTATTGCACTCTCCTAAAAGAGTTTCAGATACGAAACCGTTTGAATGGGGAGCCTGCTGTTCGCTGGCTACTAGATCGACCCACGATCATGTATTCAAATGGCGTATACGCGCTTTACCAGTCAAGTATTAAGAATCGTTTCGGCTCTTGACAGCGAAAACTGTTCCGGTTATACTTATCTGAAGACTTCTAGCTCGCTCGACTTCGAAAACTGTTCTGCGATTTAGGTGGGTTTCGCTCTGCCTTTTATACTTGCAGGCCTGTCGATTTCTTGGAAAACCCCCATAATGTCGAAATATACAATTGTTGTATAAATTCGCAATTAGACATTAATTATGAAAACGAACGATTTAATTACATTATTAACATTGCATTCTACTCGGTAGTTTATGTTGTTGATACAAAAATAGTACTTTAGTGGTGTTTTAATGAAAATTGCATTTTCTATCTTCTTCTATACAGGGTGTTCAGCAATTTACTAGCCAGCGTTTTTCTCGTAAATTGTCACATTGCATCGTACAATGCACCTCTTCCTTTATTATATTTTTCATCACGCTCAGTAATGCAAACATAATGAAGTATGTATTTTTTTCGTATTTATACTATTTTTTAAGATATGAAGGTAACCTTCAGTTTTTTTAATGGAATGGTATATATTTTTTTATATCATATGAAAGAGCGGATCGAAACGAATTCAACGATGTATTATATCATGACCTTGAAATCCATTCTGAGTCAAAAGCAAACGAAATATTTCAAATATTTCATATTACTGTACTTACCGGTATTTCTTACTGGTATGTTTACATGTGTAACGTCCCTGGAACCTAAGTTCAGCTAGTTACAAGCGCTAAAAGGTAAAGAGCGGCTTTTACCTCTAAACGACTCGATTCTACAAATTAAGATTGTGGGATTCGTGTGGTGCGCGGTTAAGGAGTGAAATCCAAAGATCGATATCTTTCAACAATTAAATTTATTCAATAAGAAATGAAACTATCACCTACAATAACAACAAAATAAGAGAAATATATAAATTATAAATGATTAATAAAGAACTAAATAAATCTTGATAATGATAATAGTAGAAATTATACATAAGACAGATAATGATAGAAATAATAGAAATTGACAAATTAAACAATATGTGATAGATAACGATATGAGGCTCGCTGGTTAATACTTTGTATCTGAATCGGGCCTCTGATATTCGTAATATTTACTAAATTTGATATTCAATTTTCGTGTTTGTCGCTATTGCTTATAGTAATGAATCCTATCTAATTGTAAGTATAATTCGGTTTCTAGATGCAAATATATACAGGGTGTTCGGCTACTGGTGGGCATAATTTCAGGGGGTGGTAGCTGGGGTGATTCTGAACAACTTTTTCCTTTACCAAAATGCTGGTTAAAGCTTAGTTTTTGAATTAT